CCCCAAAACCCCAAAACCCCAAAACCCCATAAACATAAATTGAGTTACTCATATAATAAAAGTGTAATTTAATATCAGAAATTCTCAAATCTCAAAGGTAATTATTTGAATAATGTACTTAATTAATGATTAGCGAAGCAGAAACCAACTTAAACATATGATCAGTATGCACCAAGATGTGAACAATCAACCTCATCTGGATTACTTAATGGGGTCTAAACCTCGACAATCAAAGACAAAAAACTCTGTCTTCACAAACAGGGAAAAAGTTCTTTATGAGACATCTTAAAATAGAAGACCTCAAGTAAAGAGAATCAATATAAGCTCTTAAGAAAGCGAGTAGTCGCTAGAGAAGGTAAACAATTAATAGGATCAAATCTCAATTAAAAGGCACAAGCAAACATTTCTCAATGACAAAATATCTTAATTACTCATCAGAAATTCTACTAAGGACCTAATTGAGAGATAGGCAGTCAAGAAGATAGAAAGAGGGAGAGGTAGGTTTCTTAAGAAGCTTTAAAATGTGACTTATGATGAAACTCTCAAAAACCAAGAATAAACAAGATTTAATAAATAGCAATAATAGCTGATTAAACTAGACAATATAATTTGTAACTAATAATAGAAAACTAAAAATTAATCACTAATCAGGCAAATGAAGGAACCAAAGTGCCCCAGAAGCATTATTGACCAGACAAATGGAGTTCTTACAAGGAAGCTGCCCTGCAAACCTGCTTTCAACATTTTTAAGACCGAAGATCATCGTTCCTCATTGCATGATAAGCATTACTCGCAGCAGAATTAATAATAATCGCAATCAATTATCTAAAACATTAAACCCAAAATACAAGTCATTTCCAGTAAAAATATAATCAAGAAAAAGGCACCCTCTTAACTGCAGACAAGAGTTAATGAATCTGTTATCATTAGCAGGCACACTGACATAAGCATGGACCAGTCTGAATGCTGTGTAGGGCAGAGCTAAGATCAGCCAAGGAGTTTAAATAGAGTTTTTAATATTGCAAAAAAAAACTCATTTCCTATGGCTTAAATTGCTTCCAAAAACCCCTCTCATTAAGGCAGCATGATATCGGACAAGAGAGAAAAGAGTCTAAACAATATTAGCAAGAAGACTAAAAGCTTGCAGTAGGTACCGATAAAGGCTATAATAATGCCAATATCTGAGAAGCTGAGTAGTATGGTATCGAGTTCACATAACTAAAGTAATACCTCCTTATGCCTTTAAGATTTACAAGGTATAAAAGTTAATATTTAAACTGACCCGATTATGCCACCTCTCAAGATAATTGCAGATGAATACTATAACTATCTAATCAACTATGAGGAGACCTTACTGTGCCACTACTTACTTAGTGATAGACTGTCTAGAGATTTTTTTACTCAAAGATGCTATAGCATGCATCAAGAAATAGACACATAACTGAGAGCTCGACTTCTTGATTGGATATTACACTGCACTTAAGTGGCACAAATGGAAGAAAAGAATATCTTCTTCATAATCTGCCATCTGATTGACACCTACTATCAGAGAATAGAAATACCTTAGTCAAAGGAGGATGTATAGCTCACAGCCATCAGCGCTCTGTTCATCGCTAGCAAGCTTATTCAAATTAATCATCTAAGCATGCAATTTTGTGCTCAAAACTTAGGCCATAGCAAGTACACTATCAAAAATATCGAGGATAGAGAATCTGAGATTCTTAGACTTGCTGAATGGGAAATAAACTCTCACCCCACGCTATATGAGATCTTCGAATTGACTGTGATGCTGATTAAGAAGGAGATTCAGGGCAAGGTATTCAACCTCGAGATGATAAATTTCATCAGAGATTTCCAGAGTATAGCCTTTTGTATACTCAGGTCTTGTCTTTCGATAATGAATATATCTAACAGGCCTCCAATTGAAACTGTAGCATTGGCTATCAATCTGGGGATGAGTTTGAAAATACAAGAAGCTGAAATCAAACAAACTGCAGGTGATCTCTGTGAAATCTATGTGATAGTAAAGGCCTGGGAGTGTGTTTAAAGATACAAGTTTAGGTTAATTGGTGATCTTACAGATAAGACAATTGGATTGATGATTGAGATATAAAGGATTAAATTAATTTGCAAAGAGACATTGATAGAAATTCTAAACATTCCACGAAGACTATTATCATACGACTAGTATCAATTAAGATTAATGCTTCAAGGAATGAATCAATATCTTATTTGAGTTGAATGCTATAGTCATGACTGAAAAAGGTATTCCTGTTCTTCATGAATTTTTTCTTGATTACTTCTCATTAAAGTATTAAAGATTGAGAGTAAAGTGTAAATATACTCTGAATATAAATGATATAACAATAGTCACAAGAAATTGAGCATAGTATGCATGCGATCATTATACAAGTTAATTTTTTTGGTTTTATTTTAATTAATTTCTAATTGATTTCCATTAAATTTATATCAAGCAGGGGTTTTGGGGTTTTGGGG